AAATTTTCGAATAAATTTCGTTTAAATAAGCGATTAAATCACTAGAACTATTTAACAGCGATTAAATTTTAGCCTCCATATTGGATTTTTGTTTACGATTTTATGGTGATATTTACAAGTTTTAAAAAACATTTTTTAAAAAACAATAAATATCAATTATTACTTATTACATACCTTAAATTAATGGAATTTTCTTTAAAAAAATATTTATAAATTTTGACACATACGACAGATTTTATGAATTGTCAAATAGTTTCCTTTAATTCAAAAAATAATCTAGACGTATAAATTTAATCTGTCAAACTATGCTCAGTAAGTTTTTTATTTGATTTTTCTCTTTGGAAAATAGTTTCATGCAAAATAATTAAAAATAAAACCCCTCGACCGCTACGCGGTCTCGTGATTTTATAAAATTATTTTGCATTCAACATTTTCCAACAAAAACCAATCAAAAACTACTGAGCCTAGTTTAACCGATTAAATTTAAGTTCTCGTGATATAATATATGATTATAAATGTAAAAACTTGATTAAAGGGGCAAGTGAATTTTTTAATGAAGGGATTAAGTAACATTTTTTTTAATAAAAAAAGTAAAATATAGTCATTGCAACACCAAGTTTATTTGTATTTACAATTATACATTTTTTGTCTGGAGGTGTCATGTTACAATTAAATTAGAATATTGAGATCAATAATTACGGGTCATTTGGGAAGAAGCTATCTGACAATACTGGCATCATACTAAGCCGTACTTACGATACCAAAAGTATTGTCAATATTAAAAGTACATTTGTTTCGTTTAAACCTTACCTTCATCTGCCTTGCAAACATAGCGAAAATACATCTTCAAGTGGCCCAGATAATTCGCGATCAACACTAAACTAAAAAATACAGTTGGATAAGTATGATGCGTTTGACTATGCCGTCCGTCGTGACGCGTCGGCAGCCGACGGCATATATCGGAGACTTTATTGGTGTTTTGTATTACACTTGTCCAACTTTATTTTTAAAAGTTCTTCGCTTAGTGTATTATGTGGTCCACTTGACACACTTATTCAACAGTCTTGTCTGGTCCTTTTGACAATATATTTTCCCTATATATACTCAACAGATTATTTATTATTATTTTTATATTTTAACGTTGTTTATCTATTATGATTAATCTGGGAATTTTTAAAGGGGTTTGGCTGAGTATAATTATAATTTTACTAATATATGTTGATGTTAACTACATATTATGTGTAACACCTTTAAAAAGTATCAATAAGAACCAAGAAGTTTTAGCGAAGTAGCTGCTGAGTTTCTCACCCTATTTCACATGTAAATTATTCCCGCATTATAGTTAGCAAGTATAACATCGCCGTTTGTTTTGTAAAAACAGTTTGCTTGTAATAAAAATTCCGATACTATAAATGTCAAAGGAATAATGAAATTTTTTATTCTTCACAGTTTAATCTAAAAATGTATGTAGGTATTTTTCCAAGGTTATTAGAACCATATTTACGTTTGGATGTTTATTTCTAGAATTTAGTTATAAATATAAAACATAAGGCATTAAATAATAAATATTTATATTCTGACATAATATAATATTAATATTATTATCCTCAACGCAGCCCTAAGAAGTTTATTCCTTATTGTTTTAGTACAATAATAATTTTATATTCCTAGTACAATAATAAGATACATAAGCGTATACAATAAATTCGGAGAAACCATCTGTCAGTAACAGACTGTCATCGACACTGTCATTTATCTGAGGTTGTTGTTTCCTCAACACTCAAACACGTGTTCAATACCTTTATTTTTGTTTAACTTGTTAATACATTAATTAAACTTGATTTAACCCTCGTTTTTGACTAAATGTATGCCAAAAACTGATTTTCTAATAAAAGACAAAAGAATGGACAAATAAGGAAATAAAGAGAAAATTATGTCATTAGGAGAAGTGATTTTTTTGTTCTGAGCTCAAAAGATTCTTCAAATTTATTTCTGTATAACTTGTACCTACATTAATTAAACTTTAGCATACAACAAGGTAGAATTGCTTTTCTCATTTAACAGATTGAGAGTAGGTCCTTGATACAGTGTTTCCAACTTTCGTGGCATCATTTCTGTGGCAATACCGCATCGAGAATCTACTCTGGATTTATCAAGTGAGAATAGTATATTCTGTAACAAGTTTGGAATACAGCATATTCCGCTCGAGTGAAGAGTTTGTCACACGAGCCGATGGCGAGTTTGACGGTTTCACGAGAGCGGAATATGCAATTCCAAACGTGTTTCAGACTATACTTTTTCTACGTTTCCAAAAAATACCATAGAAAAAGAATTTATTTGGAAGAAAGTGAGGTTGAATCGGTCTAAAATTTGTTAAATATTTAAACCAGAGATATCGCCACGAGTGTTTATTCTGTCATCCGATGATAGAATATTTCATTCTGTAACACTTTACAGAATATATGTCATTCCATAAATAAAAGTGATTAGAACGGTCAAATTGCGTAATAGGAGTAGAAAAAAGCAATTCTACCGCGATTTATAAAAAGTATACTGGAGGGTGAGGCCACATAAGGTTAATTTTGTCTAAATACGAATAAATTTCGACGTCACCCGGGAGGTATTCTTCTGCGACGCGTTGACCTTTTTTAAAATGGAGGTGATGGCCTTTAGCCCTACTAAACCATTATAAATAAAAAAATAACCTCTAAAAAAACAAAACAAATAAAATATCATACCAAAGACTAGTCTTAATCTTAACTCAAAACCATACATTTGTTTTTTAAAACTTGAACATATAGTTAGTTAGCTACTTTTTGTAAATTAAATCTTTACGCCTATCTTTTAAGGTTGCGAATTTATCTATTATTTGGTCATAAAATTGTGGTTCTGCAGTGAGATTTGACTTATAAGTATGCTTTCACAAAAATTATCTTGAAATTTTAAAATAAAACATCTAAAATTTTTTCAACACTTAAATTTAAAAATTGTTTATCTCAATATAATACCTACAGAAAGCTCATTTTTTAGCCTATCTTTGTCAAAAATATTTGGATAATTTTTTAATAAACTCATTAGTACGTTGTCTGGAAAGCATTTTGCATATTCCGAATATTTTGTGCTATCAACTAAAGCAAGAAAACTTATATTATTTAAACTTTTAAACCGCGTCTCTATCGAAGAATTATGCAATCTATTATTTCAAAATATATTATTTTATATTTGATAAAAATATCAGATTCCTTAAAAGAGTGACCTCTGCATGCGTTAGTTGGCAGTTCCGTGTCATTTTTAGCAATATTAAAAACTGTTTAAAACGTTCTTAGTTTTTTAATTCTTTGATTCTTAGCTTGGCAAGGTTTATTTGTGATGAGCAGTAATTTATGTCTAAATGCCGTTTGGTGATTGGTGGATAATTTGGTATCCCTAATAAAGTGGCAAAATATATACGACTCTGTGTAATTTGTTTTGTTCCCTGTTGCAATACTAGATTTAATCTGTGCACAGCAATGGAGTAAGGAGCATTGCATCTAACTTTTGTTTGAAGTTCATTTATTTCACCCGCCATAACACTGGCACCGTCATAACATTGCGCGACCGGTTTTTCTAGTTCCAGTAATAACGCCCTAAACTACTTTTTATTAACTAAAAAAGGCTCTCTGCAGCTGTTCTATTATCACTGATGTCAAAAATTCCTAAACATGTTTGTAACATACCTAACTGTTATCGAACATTGTGATTTTTCCGTTATATCGGTACTGTCATCCGAAATTACGAAAAAAAGCAACAATCTGTATTATTAATTTCTTTTTTTATATGGATGCAACCAATCAGTTTATTTTAAATAGTCTTAGACTGTCCTGTAAAAATACTAAATTTTGTACAATGTTCCGCATTTCTCTTTATTAAACATGCCAATAGTTCTTTAAAATTTAAAGAATCTGTAGTTTCATCATGGACCCAGAATGCCAACTCCTGTTTACCTAACGTAATAGTAGCATCAACTAAATAACTTAATAATAAGCGATTTTACGCACGTTTGCATTATGTAAAATTGCATTTACATCCGCTACATCCGTTTCTGCGTAAGCTTTGACTTATCATTATTTAAAGATTTTATCGGGTGTGTTTAACACTTTATCCAAGTTTTTTGTTACAAAATAATTATCGGACTTTCCTCTAATAAATCATAATCTCGAAAAAAAAATTTTGGTTCGTTTTTCGGAACGCGGCAACAAAATATAATATAGACAAAAAAAATGTATTGACATAACCAATATTAGCTTAACCCCAGCTACTTTCTGGAATTTTGTAAGAAATTTAGATGGCGGAGAAAGTTATTTAGGATGGAGCAAATAAATAATGATGGTAGTATAAATACAAATACAATCTCTATTTTGTTATCTTCAAACATACATCGTCCTATAAAAACATAGAAAAAGTTCGACAATTTTCAATTGATTTTAATAAAAAAAAGGCTTGATACTTAAAATCTAATGCAATTTACCATTGTTATTAAAAAATCTGTTTTAAAATTATAAAAAAATTGTACATTTATAATTTTCTAAAGAATACATACTTTTAATAAAAACGATTATTTAACAATAAATTTAAAGTTCAATTCCTTTTAGTTAAAACCTTTTGGAAAAAGATCGATAAAATAAAAAAAGGCCTGACCAGTGTGAATTTCATATTTTTAAAGACATATTTTTGACCAAAAACGATTATTTTATAATAAATTTAAAAGTTACGATTTTTAGGGCAGCGCGTTCCTAAATTTTTAAGCAGATTGTTTTCAATAAAAAACGCATTTTATAAAAATGAATATACTTTTATTAATTTCGCAAAATCACAAAAATTATATAAAATTTAAGCTATACTCACAATGGAAGTAAAATACTACATATTCAATACTTTTTACAATAATTACGTAGACAAACAAAAACCATAAAAACAGTCATGTGATTGGTTAAAAAGTAAAACGATGGCTATAAAACTGAAACTAAAAATAATATCACACTATGAAGCGACATTTTGAATACAAAAAATCACTGAAAAAACAAACTATTTTCCTAGCAAATCGTGACTTGTACTCCTAGCGACGTTTCTCAGGGTTTTTATGTTTTTCAACTCCCTGGTCCCGCCGTACGTAAAACTGACGTCCCTGTTTATCAGTGGGTGGGAATCCCCCGACCGTGGACTCACAGGCTTGCCAATCCCCGAGTCTACGCTCTGACTCGGCGACATTTTGGCCTCGAACGCGTTTTTCAGCGGCAAGCTCGCGCACTTTTCGTTTTTCTTGTGGTTTTCCTTCTCGAAATCCTCCACGGTGATGTCGATTTTCGAGCCGCTTTTCACGTGCAGTTTCTGCTGCAGGATGTTGTTGTGGGAGTCGGAAAAAAATTGCGAGACTTTCGGCGACGTTTTGGTCTGTTTGGCGAGGTCGTCTTCTTGTTGGTGAGGCTGTTGGACCTCGTCATGGCTTCCGCCGGGTTGTTCGGGAGGGTGATTTTGCTAGCGCTCTGCTGTATGACCCGCTGCTTCTCCAACCTCTTGACGATACCCAGCGCCGTCTCGAGTTTGCTCATCAGAACTCGGTTCTAATCCGTCAGAATTCGGTTCTGCCCCTCCAGCTTGTGCAACGCCTCGACGTGCGGCTGCACGGAGCACCTCTCCTCCTGCAAGACTTGGTATTCCACCTTGTACTCTTCGAGTTGCTTTCTTATGTCGGTCGTGTAGACCTGCTTCATTATTTTGTCGAGGATTGGTTTGTCTATAAGCGGCAGCTGCGTTTTGAGGTAGTTCATGATACCCTCGAAGCTGTCACATTGCAGTAGCTTTTGCTTGTGGTAGGTTAGAAGGGCCAGAGCTACCCTGAAGATTACGTCGGGATTTTCGAGGAACAATAGATCTGCATAAAAAAATACAGAATGTGACATTTGTTTTTTATGATTATGTAGTTAAATTTTTTGTCTTTTTTGTCATTTAAGCTTGTAGTAATTTTTAACATGTAGTAATTATTTATGCTTGTGCCTATTTTATTGTAGTGTACTAATTTTAGCTTGTCATTATTTTGTATTCTACTTTTGAATAAACTCATTTTTAAATTTGTCAATAATTTAGAAAGTAGCCATTTTGTCCTAATTTTAGCTTGTAGTCATTTTTTAAACTTGTCAATATTATTGTAGCTTGTAGTCAGCTTTTAGCATGTAGTCATTTTTTATCTTGTCCTATTTTTAGCTTGTAGTAATTATTTCACCTTGTAGTCATTTTTAGTTTGACATTGGCATTTTTTGGCTTGTCGACATAAACCTTGTCTTTTACTTTGTAGTCATTTTTAAACTTGTCAATATTTTTGTACCTTGTCCTTATTTTAGCATGTAGTCATTTTGTAACTCGTCCCTAATTTAGCTTGGCTTTATTTTAATTTCTAGTAATTTTTCTTAGCTTGGCTTATCAACATTTAACCTTGTCTTTTTTGTCATTTAAGCTTGTAGTGATTTTTAATATGTAGTAATTTTTTATGCTTGTGTTTATTTTATTGTAGTGTACTTATTTTAGCTTGTCATTATTTTGTATTCTACTTTTGAATGAAGTCATTTTGAAATTTGCCCTAATTTTAGCTTGTAGTCATTTTTAAATTTCAATATCAATATTTTTGTAGTCATTTTTGTAGCTCGTTCTCATTTTAGCTTGGCTTTCTTTTAATTTGTAGTAATGTTTTTTAGCTGGTAGTAATTTTTAGTTTGACATTTTTGACTTGTCGACATTAACCTTGTCATTTTAGCTTGTAGTCATTTTTTATCTCATTAATATTTTAACATGTAGTCAATTTTGTAGTTTGTCGTTATTTTAGCTTGTTTTTATTTTAATTTGTACTTATTTTTTTTACCTTTTTCGTTAATCATTATTTATGCTTGTGATTATTGTAGTAAACTTATTTGAGATTGTATTCATTTTTGTATCTTGTCTTTATTAAAATAGGGACAAGATACAAAAATATTAACAAGCTTAAGCTGACAGTAATTGTTTTACCGTGTATTCATTATTATTTTGACATTTTCTTAGCATTTGTCATTTTTGTAGCTTGTCTCTATTATAATTTGTAGTATTTTTTTTAGGCTTTTAGGTAATCATTATTTATGCTTGTGCTTATCGTAGAAAACTTATTTTAGATTGTAGTCTTTTTTAGCTTATTATTATTATTTTGTATTTTGTATGGCATGTAGTCATTTTTAGTTTGACATTATCTTGGTATTTTTTTAGCTTGTAGTCCTTTTTGATCTCCTTAATATTTTTGTAGTTTGTTCCCATTTTAGCTTGTCATTATTACAATTTGTAGTAATTTTTTTAGCTTTTTATAAAGTCAATATTTTGGAGAACCTGGACAGAATAAAAAGATGAAAATTTACAAAATCAGCTCATATTTTCTTACTATTTGTGCAATAAATACAAATTTTCTTTTAAATCTAACAAAACTAATAAAATTAAATAAAATTTCGAAATAGAATATCATATTCTTCACGATAATTAAAAAAAATAGTAATTAATAGGTACTTAATTATGTGTAAACCGTAAAATTACACTTACGGTTAAATTACACCTAAATTGTTATGTTACAGTATTATTCCTAGAGCTGATTAAAACTATTTTATATATTTAGTTTTAGAATTTTTTTATTTTTAGTTATAAATTAATAAAAACAAGGCATTAAATAATAAAAACATTTAGTAATATTCGGACTTTCTATCATCATATCCATAATCTTTTTCATTATCTTCATCGTGATGGTTTTTGTACTTTGAAGAGTCATCATAGTACTTGTCTTCGCCGTTCTTCTCTCTGTATCCCTTTGATTGTTCCTCCTCTTGCCCCTTATCAGAAAATCCTTTTTTGCCATAATCCGATTCTGCAATAAAATTTATAAAAATAAATCTAATCTAAACATTTTTATATTTAAAAACTTTGATTGTACTATAAAACACAAATTTTAATCCAAAAAAAAATTTAACAATTTAAAAAAATATATACCGAATTATTTTTAAAGTTTTTTTTTTATTGGTGCTTAATTGTTCCAAATTCATATATAATCCATTTATTTTCTAATGCAAGGCAACAGGTTTTAGTTTTATCACAGCTATTTTAGGATATAAAGTTTTTAGTGGTAGTTTAAATAGGCGAAATTATTACAATTTGGGAAAATTATGTGGATGAAAGTGGTTTATCTGGGAAACTTATCAAAGCATGGAAAGGAAATTCGACTTTAATTCAATCTAAAAAATTAAAGCAAGCATATTCAGTATTGTTTAGATGATAATATTACTCTCCATTAGATTACAGATGGCAAACATCTAAAGCATATTTCGTAGTTTTTGTTTGTCATAGTTTAGGCCGTGTTTAATTTAAGAACTGAATTTTGTCACCATTAAAGCAATATAAGAAAAAATTAATTAATGTTACCGGATGGCCACTAATATTTTTATTTAAAAAACTAACCATTCTAGAATTGAAAAAGTATATAACATAATTAAGAATTATATTTAATTTCCATTTAACAAGATAAGGAACAAAAAATATTTACGCTGTTAAGTAAAGATGTCATGCTTTAGCCAGGATTTAAAAAGTAACCTAAATGTAAGTATTTATAATTGGAAATTGTATTTACGCGGAACATTTTTCATAAATATATTGTTTAATCAATAATATTTATAATTATTATGTAAAAAAATGTGTATCAAACGTTTAAGAAAATTTAGTTAAATTATAGTTATTTGCTCTGAAAGTGTTCAAAAGCGACTTTTTCACTAAGTGTTTAAGTAACTCACGAGGCCGTCAGGCCAAGTGTGCATTAACACGAGCTTGAAGAAAGCTTTTGTCACAAGTGAAACACAATGTTTTTTATACGACCTTTTTATTTTTTATTATATTCAAATACCCTAAATAACCTAAAAACGTGTTTGAGAGCTCTTAAAATTACTTTTATGTTATTCTTTTAGTTTTTAAGTTATTTAAAATCATTAAACGTACCTTCTCAATTTAAATGAGGGCACTAAAAATTAGAATTTATTATACAAACACATTTAATTGTGTTCTAAATGATATTTAGACATACATATGTATACAAATATAATCGAATATAAACGAATGTCAAACGATGCTCTCAATTTCTTTTCACACAAAAATGTCACTTTACATTCGTGTATTGCCTTGCCAATGAAAAGATTAATTTTAAAAGCAACGATGCCATTACAAAATGTTACTTTTACATAGTAGTCGTAGAAAAAAATAATTTAATTAATACATTTTTTTTTTATATAAATGGATCCCAACCCCTATGCTTTATTTAACAGAATAGAATCGACGTGATTACAAATTATACTGTTTTATTTATTTTTTATTTTATTACCTTTATATCCTTTTGAATATTTTCCTCCGCTATGATACCCTCCATTCTCTTTGGAATGCTCTCCCTTCGAATTCCCATACTTGTTGTAATATCCATTTGCGTCACTCTCATCATAAAAACTGTGATCTTTTTTGTATTCGTCCTTATGATAAACCTTATGAAACCTTGACACAAACAAAAAACAAATGTTAATCCTAAACGAATACACCAACATTGTTATGTTAACAAGTCAAAAACTCAAAATTTATTCTTTACCCGGTCGTCTTGGATCCTTTTTTGTGGCCTTTTGCCTGTTTAAACGATTCTCCTTTGTTTTCGTTGACCGATTTGTGTTTGTCTTCATAGTTGCTTGCTACATCGTAGTCGGCTTTTTTGTCTCCCCCTTCTTCATTGTAATACGCTTTCTTTCCCTGTTTTCCATACTGACCCTTTAACTCTTAAAAAATCAAGAATTTTTTATTAAAATAGGTAAAACTAAAGTTATATTTATTAAAATTTATTATTTTTGGGAAATTAAAAAAGTTCCCAAAAAAACCTTAATAATACAAAATAGGAAAAAAAATAAAAATTATTATTAAATAAGGTACCCCTATAAAATCTTTATTAAAAGTGATATAGCTTGCATGGTTTAAAAAAGTATTTTTTTTTTAAATTGAAAAACAAAAAAGCATCAGTAAATTTGATAAAATAGCATTAAAATTGTTTTTGTTTTGTTAATAACTGACCAGAAAATTATGCAAAATTTAACACGAGAATGGTTGCCATATATAAAGAACTTTTACCCTAAAATAAGCATGTCGTTTGGAACAATTATTAATAAAATGTTTAATATAAACATAAAAATTATATATTTTTATTATAAGAATAATAAAATTTATTTAAACATTCAAAAATATACAGGGTGTTATATTAAAAAAACAATGTTATATCTATTTTATCAATTTTACTGATGCTTTTTTATTTTTAAATTTTTGTCAAAAAAATTACTTTTTTAAACCATGCAAGGTGGATTTTTTAATTTTTTAATATCTCTTCAATTCAAGATTTTATAGTTGCAGCCAAATCTACATGGGTGCACGTCACGTTTTTTTTTTCATAATTTCGTAAAAAACGTTTACCAATGCTGTTTACATTCGTAAAAAACTTCACACGTAACTTAACGTATTTAAAAGTTGGGTCCGGCTCAACTTAAGGGAATACGTTTCTTACGTGAGCCAATCACATGCCCAGTAAAACGATATAGCGCTATCTTGTTGTTTCACTTTTATACTTTTGTAGATATACCGTACCTTCATTTGCAAGCTAACCATAGGGAAAATACATGGTAGTACATGGACCAGATAAGTCGCAGTCAACAAAAAGCGAGAACCTTTTCAGAAATGATTTGGATGCGTCGTCGAGACATGCGTACTAAAACAAATTTTACCAGATTTACACCGCACAAAATAAAAAACAATAATAAAGCATCGATGTATGAAGCAAGGTCAACTGTTACGGCGCATGCTAGCCTACTCGTCCACGCGTCCAAATCATTTCTACAACGTTTTTCGCTTCGTGCTGACTAAGACTTATCTGGTCCAGTTACAATGTATTTTCCCTATGGTTAGCTTGCAAATGAAGGTACGGTATAGGTACCCAGTCTACATCGATGTATACATTGCGCGTGCTTGTATATTACGTTCTTTGCGTGTATTAAGTTAATGTAAACAGACAACTTAACAGACGTAGGTTTCTTAAGTTAAGTTACGCTTATTAAGTGTTGTTAAGGCTTTTGTTTTAGATATGACCTCCCAGTTCATTTTTTTTTCTGGCGACCCACTTTTTTATGTTTGGATACGGGAAAAGCTATTGGGTGTCAAATCTAATGAGTGTAGTGGACGCGGTAACAATTTAAAGCGCAATTTGATTCTTCGATGACTGGATGGTGAATTTTATCAATCGTTTCTGACTCGTAACTGTGGTCAATAACAACTGGTACCTTTTAAACAGTTTTTATTAAATGTGGATGTATATCATTGTTTAATTTCACTCATTCTACTTATAGTTTTAATAGTTTTAAAGGTGGTGCAGCTGTGAGAGAAACTTTATCTAACTAGGATTTAACTTATTTAGATATTTTGGCATTTAAATTAAAGTCTTGAATTACTGCTCAAAACTTGTTTTTTTTCTGTCGTTCAAAAATATAAAAAGCTGTTTAAAAAATCGATTGTAAAAATGATACATACAGTGTGACCCATTTGTTTGCGACTCACGCCATATTTGTACAAAATACAAGGCCTACTTTGTCAGTTTTTAAGACTAAATTTTTACTATTCATACAAAAATTTATTCTGTCAATCTATATATATATATATATATATATATACCATATGCCCCCAATCCGACTTCATAAGAGGAACAACTTTTTTATTTTTCTTATTTAGAAATGACAAATTCAGTTTATACTTTTGCCAATTTCCCCTCAGTCTCAGAGATGCATTGAAAAATGTGAAATGTTTACTTAGAAATTATTTCCAAGTTCAAAAATTTATAATGAGTTCTATGGTAACTTCAACGCGTTTCCATTATTACTTTTTCCCGCTACCATTGGCGACGCTACAGTGTGATTAACTTTAAATGTTAACGTCAGATATAAATAATTAAATGTCAGAATTAAATAATTATGACAAGTTTTTTTAATTTTATTAAAATATCGCTTCACGTCAAAAAGTATAGTGTTAACCTCGCGGGGAGATGCAGTTACTCCCTCGATGAATTTCATCACTCGCCTATTGGCTCACACGGAAACTTTAATCTATCGAAAATAATTTCTAAGATTAGTTGTAATGGCTGTCAATAAGGGCGACTCAGACAAGTCCAAAAGACTACGATTGTTATTTTCACTTGATACTGTAGTGAATAAACACTGAAATGGTAACTGATTAATATTTTAATGAATTAATTTTTCAAATAAGTAACAAGAACAACTTATTCAATCCATTATCCACCCTTTTCTACACACATTTCTGCTCGCTTGCGCAGTTCCCCGTAACTATTCCTAATCTCTTCAATTGTTATGGATTCTACAGCGTCTCTTATTTTTTGATTTAAATTGTCTATATTAGGAGGTAGGTCGTTGGCATAAACAATTTGCTTCTATCGACCCCATAAACAAAAGTCTGCGATTGTTAAGTCGGGACTTCAGGCAGGCCATACAACTGGACCGTTCCGCAAAATAAACTTCTGGCCAAATTTATTATATAACCACTGCACAACTATTTGCGCGAAATGAGCCGGAAACCATCCTGTTGAAAATAACAGCTAGGGAGATAACAAAGGGGTAGCTCGTCAAGCTTATCATCCAAAAAGAAACATTGCCAAATAGGTCTTTTGATTAACCGTATTGTCAAAAAAATACGGTCCTATGATGCCATGATATAAAATTGCGCACCACACATTAGCTTTGGCCAAATACTGTCGACCACTGGGAATGCGAAAATTCGGGATGTGATCACTCCAATACCTAACGAAACTGTGCCGTTAGTAAAAAATGTAGCCTGGTCGGAGAAAATAATGTTTCGGTGGAAGTATTGATATTAACCCCTAACCACAAGCAAAAATCTAAACGCCTAGCTGAATCTCCAGGTTTCAATACATGGTTGAATATCGGCTTGTAGGGAAGAAACTTAATTTTTTTTAAATTCTCTGCAAATGGGATTTGCTGATTTCCAGTTGGAGTGATCTCCTTCTCAAAGATAGTATGGGATTATTTTGTACTGAATCCATAACAAGAATAGTTGGGGCGTCATTTTCATCGTGAACGATCTTGTTTCGTTTTGCATCCACTACCGAACCAGGTTTCAAAAACTTTCCAACTGAATTTCGAGCAGCGTAAAATGATACGTGAATATCTGGATATTTATCATTAAATTCCTAGACAACTTTACCTATCTCCTCTTCCATAGCAATGTACCAAATAAATTCTGTGCTCCATCAACATTTCTTAACCATTTAAACCTAATATTGAGCCCTGAGTCGATCTGAACAATATTTTAATATTTAACGTCATTACAACTAATCAAAAACCGTAACCATAGAAGCGCATTATAATTTTTTGATCTTAAAAATTTTAAACATATTTTTATAATTTTCGGTACATCTATGAAACTGAGGGGAAATTAGTAAAAGGATAATCAGCCATTTTATAACAAGCAAAAACTTTTATAAGGAAATGAAATAAAAAAGTTTTTTCTCTTATGATTCATAAGTTATGAAGTCGAATTGGGGACATACGGTATATAAATATACGTATATATATAGTATACTCATTGATGTGACAAAATATTTGTCATGAAAATAACCATTGCTGTTTTTAAAATTACACGTAAGGTTTTGTTAGAAATTGTATGCTTTTAAATAGTACATTGTCCTTGACGTTGGCGTTGACATTTTATATTGAGTGGATTAGTGTTATGCATTTGGATACTGTTATATTTTCTCCGCCTATAAATGTTTATATTTATAAAAATAAATATTAAATATACATACAATGAGGCATTTTAGGTAATCATCCATGAACTTTTGTAGGAACATGAATATTTTGCAATGAGAACTTTTAACAGTTTTAGCTAAATTTTTTAAGCCATTTGACAGGGTCTTGTTTTAATTATAGCGTGTGTCCCGAAAATAGTATGCAATACTAAAGACAAAAATAGGAAAAAAAGAAAGCGCAAAGTTGGACTTTTCCGAGGAGCTAGCGTTTTTTACTTTGTCGCTCGCCGAACGACAAAGTTACTTTGTCGCTCGCTTAGTTACTATGGAAACCATAATAAAGAAATGTTTAGTGCATTTGCCACTTTTGACATAAACTTCAAATTTAAGGTTATCAATAAATATTAATTTTTCATTCTTATAGAAACACCGGTTCTAGAATAAGCTATTTTGTACACAATAAATAACACAAAAAAGCACTCTATACAGTAATTTAAATTGATTTTTAATTATTACCATAGGCCTCGCGTTTGGAAAGTATTCGTATTCGTTCAAATTTAAATTTTGAATAAAAAACGTTAACCATTCATAAAAAACCAATAGGGAAAGATCCATTAAAATTTTAAATTAAATAATTAAAATCATTACGAAAACATAAATAAAAGTTTTACGAAAATAAAATAAAAAATATCAGGTATCAAATCAAATCGAACAGCTTTATTTACCCTTTCACTCCAATACCTAACGAAACTGTGCCGTTAGTAAAAAATGTAGCCTGGTCGGAGAAAATAATGTTTCGGTGGAAGTATTGATATTAACCCCTAACCACAAGCAAAAATCTAAACGCCTAGCTGAATCTCCAGGTTTCAATACATGGTTGAATATCGGCTTGTAGGGAAGAAACTTAATTTTTTTTAAATTCTCTGCAAATGGGATTTGCTGATTTCCAGTTGGAGTGATCTCCTTCTCAAAGATAGTATGGGATTATTTTGTACTGAATCCATAACAAGAATAGTTGGGGCGTCATTTTCATCGTGAACGATCTTGTTTCGTTTTGCATCCACTACCGAACCAGGTTTCAAAAACTTTCCAACTGAATTTCGAGCAGCGTAAAATGATACGTGAATATCTGGATATTTATCATTAAATTCCTAGACAACTTTACCTATCTCCTCTTCCATAGCAATGTACCAAATAAATTCTGTGCTCCATCAACATTTCTTAACCATTTAAACCTAATATTGAGCCCTGAGTCGATCTGAACAATATTTTAATATTTAACGTCATTACAACTAATCAAAAACCGTAACCATAGAAGCGCATTATAATTTTTTGATCTTAAAAATTTTAAACATATTTTTATAATTTTCGGTACATCTATGAAACTGAGGGGAAATTAGTAAAAGGATAATCAGCCATTTTATAACAAGCAAAAACTTTTATAAGGAAATGAAATAAAAAAGTTTTTTCTCTTATGATTCATAAGTTATGAAGTCGAATTGGGGACATACGGTATATAAATATACGTATATATATAGTATACTCATTGATGTGACAAAATATTTGTCATGAAAATAACCATTGCTGTTTTTAAAATTACACGTAAGGTTTTGTTAGAAATTGTATGCTTTTAAATAGTACATTGTCCTTGACGTTGGCGTTGACATTTTATATTGAGTGGATTAGTGTTATGCATTTGGATACTGTTATATTTTCTCCGCCTATAAATGTTTATATTTATAAAAATAAATATTAAATATACATACAATGAGGCATTTTAGGTAATCATCCATGAACTTTTGTAGGAACATGAATATTTTGCAATGAGAACTTTTAACAGTTTTAGCTAAATTTTTTAAGCCATTTGACAGGGTCTTGTTTTAATTATAGCGTGTGTCCCGAAAATAGTATGCAATACTAAAGACAAAAATAGGAAAAAAAGAAAGCGCAAAGTTGGACTTTTCCGAGGAGCTAGCGTTTTTTACTTTGTCGCTCGCCGAACGACAAAGTTACTTTGTCGCTCGCTTAGTTACTATGGAAACCATAATAAAGAAATGTTTAGTGCATTTGCCACTTTTGACATAAACTTCAAATTTAAGGTTATCAATAAATATTAATTTTTCATTCTTATAGAAACACCGGTTCTAGAATAAGCTATTTTGTACACAATAAATAACACAAAAAAGCACTCTATACAGTAATTTAAATTGATTTTTAATTATTACCATAGGCCTCGCGTTTGGAAAGTATTCGTATTCGTTCAAATTTAAATTTTGAATAAAAAACGTTAACCATTCATAAAAAACCAATAGGGAAAGATCCATTAAAATTTTAAATTAAATAATTAAAATCATTACGAAAACATAAATAAAAGTTTTACGAAAATAAAATAAAAAATATCAGGTATCAAATCAAATCGAACAGCTTTATTTACCCTTTTCAAAACCGTCATAATTATCGTATCCACTTTGTCCTTTTTCTCCCTTTGAAGAAAACTGTTCCCCATTGTATCTATTTCCATGTTCCTTGAGATATTTCGAACTATCCTTATCCAAATCGTATTCCTCGTACTTTGTCGACGGTAAATGGCTGTAAAAGATTTGCTTTTAATTAAAAATAACATTGAGGTAGGAAAATTAATTTTTCTTGCACAGGAGTTTTCAATTTGTAAAATGAAATTGTCGCTGACATACGAACTTTTTTTGTTTAATCAAAGAACCTCTTTTTAAAATGGTAAGCACAAATTTAATTTAGATTAAAATTTGTTTTAGTTTATTGTAAAAAATTATAGAAATATAAATTATTATATTTAATTTTAATTTTTAAACTAATATTTGTTTTCACTTCTGAGGAGCTAGCCTAGTAATTTAATATATATGAGTCAAACCACGTCAAGTGGGACCAGAAAATTTCACGAAATCACCGATTTTGAAAATAATCACATTATTGTGTAGTAGGCATGACTCATATGTCACAGTAAAAAAATTGTTTTAAAATTCGTTTTTTTGGTAATGTTATTAAGGTTGACAATTTTGTCAAACTTAAGAACACGGTAAAATTGAAAAAATAGAATCTCTGGGACCACTCTGTATAATTGAATTAAATTTTACACACTATTGTAGAAATGTTTAGACTATATAATGATCATTTAATTAAGGTTAATTTGTTTAAGTAAAAGAATTTTGCATACATTTATTATAAACAATTGAAATTTTTTATGTGTTCTTCACGCTAAAAAAAATTAATATTGTGTCATAATATGCGGCAAACGTTTCCGTTTAATAAGATGTACTCAAAAATTTGTCTTTCATATGTCATTCCGGATATATTAATTTTTTTGTCCCGCTGTGCGCTTGATCAGTACGCGGCGCGCTTCGCTGCTAGCTCGTCCGTTCTAACGTTTTAACGGTGTGCCTGAACGAAGTTTAAGTCACATAAAAATGCCGCCAAAAACTGATTGTAGTTTCTTGTTCGGGACCCTTTGGTGACTTAAAAATGATATTTACCAAAGTTCTAGCTGCTCCTCTTTTCGAAAATTCATGATTTTTTTTTATCTCTTTACATATTTACATATTTGCACACCGATTTTTATAAAATTGGAGTATATTATTTAGGGGACTTAGAGAATACTTTTTAATACTGTTCACATCATTTGATATATACAGGGTTAGCCAAAAATCACTTATTTTTAATAATGCAAAAGCGTAAATTCATGATTATAGCATAACACGCGAAAAATATTTATTCCCATTTTTTTAGATATTTCTACGTCTATCAGGTTAAAATGGCATTATTATTAACCTTTTACAAGAAAAATAGATTTGTAATAAAATTTAATAAAATAACGCTTAGAGAGTATTTAAAATGTTGTTTAATTTAGGCTTTTTAGTAGTTTTCAATTTTGAACGAAAAATTGGTTGAAGTCTTTTGATCGGCACTCTTTGGTGATTTAAAAAAGATATTTACCAACATTCTAACTGTTTTTTTTTAAATTTGTAAAAAATTAATTTTTTTTTTAAATTATTTGTTTATCGCAAAGTCTACCTTTGCCAGAGTACACATTTGTACACCGATATTGTAAACGAGAGAAAGTATTTTTATACTGAGCACATCATTAGATTTATACAGGGTTAGACAAAAATCACTTTTTTATATAGTAAAAAGCATAATGCATAAAAAAGATTTTTCAAAAATTTTCGAAAAGAGGAGCAGCTAGGATTTTGGTAAATATCATTTTAAAGTCACCAAAGAGTCCCGAACAAAAAACTACAATCAGTTTTTGGCGGCATTTTTATGTGACTTAAACTTCGTTCAGGCACACCGTTAAAACGTTAGAACGGACGAGCTAGCAGCGAAGCGCGCCGCGTACTGATCAAGCGCACAGCGGGACAAAAAATTTAATATCTCCGGAATGACATATGAAGGACAAATTTTTGAGTACATTTTGTTAAACAGGAACGTTTGCCGCATATTATGACACAAGATTAATTTTTTTCAGCGTGAAGAACACATACAAAATTTCAATTGTTTATAATAAATGTATGCAAAATTCTTTTATTTAAACAAATTTACCTTAATTAAATGATCATTATATAGTCTAAACATTTTTACAATAGTGTGTAAAATTTAATTCAATTATACAGAGTGGTCCCAGAGATTCTATTTTTTCAATTTTACCGTGCTCTAAAGTTTGACAAAATTGTCAACCTTAATAACATTACGAAAAAAAATGAATTTTAAAACAATTTTTTTACTGTGACATATGAGTCATGCCTACTACACAATAATGTGATTATTTTCAAAATCGGTGATTTCGTGAAATTTTCTGGTCCCACTTGACGTGGTTTGACTCATATATGGTAGTCGATAGAGTTCCTTTTAGGTTCGTTTTAAAGGCTTTAAATGTTCACGTTAGGTTTCAGTGACAACTTTGCCTTTTCTCGCTCTAAATTATATATCTCAAGCGATATAATAAAATTACTTCGATTTTTCTGTTTCAGTGAAGGTATATATAATTGGATTCTAGAGACATTTTATTTTATTTACACATTTTTTTGAAATACAAAATCATTTTGTGTAAAACAATGTAAAGAAAATTGACCAAATCGGTTTTCACAGTAACAAAAGTATTTTGTAGTATTCTGCTTTTCCAAAAATACATAAAAAATCAGCTGCGCTGGTATACTCACAATGTCACATTCAGAGAACTATTTTATCCCGAAATTTGGGGGTCAAAGTTAAACAGAACAATCTGCATAGGAAAATCGACTAATTTGTTTAATACTGAAAACTGCCCTCTGACGGAGCTACGGCCGCCCAAAAGGGGCCAGAGGATAATTTTTTTAAAGTTTTTTTGAAGAGTTAATCATAAAATATTAATTTTTAAAACTCAATTTTGACATGGTGAATCTAGATATAAAATCAAAACTGTCAAAAATTAATTGGGGACAGCTTGGGAATTTTGGTAATTATAATATAATAATAATTATAGTAAGTAATTACTAAACAGTTCTATCTGTAGAAGCACCATTATAACAAAATATTAATATTTCTTAAACGACCTTAAAAAATATTCATACTGAGTGTTGTAAATATATAGAATTGCCTTTATCGTAATCAGCGACCTTAAATACCAAATTTCAAAGATAGAACGACGTTTTAAAATTTGTGTACCATATTGGATCCGCCATTTTAAATTTTGAAAATTTGAATTGTGTATCATAATTAGCAACTTTAACAACTCCTAAATACCGAGATTCAAAAAGATTAAATGACTTTTTCTAAAATTTGTTCGCTATTTTGAACTTTAAAAATCTGAAAGTAGTATCGTAATCAGCGACATTGAAATCTTAGTACCAAAAGTTGTGTAATTCCAATAACACAAAATATAACAATCTTAAAAAAGTATATCAAAAATTACATAACCTAATAACATAATTTATTGGTTTAATTGAATCAGTAAAGGAGAAAATATACTGGTTTAACCCATAGATATAGCACCTGATTTGATTGGATCTTAGTTATTTAAAATATTTTTAATTTACTTTAAGAAAATTTTAATTATTTAAATATTTAAACCAGTATAAAATCGCCGCTACTGGTCCAATTGAATTAAAATTTGTACAGAATCAAGATATACCAAAATATTATGTTAAAAGTGCAGAATTAGTTTTTTATGAATTTTGACCCCTTTTTGTCTTTTCAATCCACCGTGCCCTCGAGCGGTTGCCGCGGCGCGGGGTGCAAAACAATATTATATTAGCCCAAAGGGCGAGCAAAAAAGTTAAAAGGATTTTCGAATCTTAAACATTGAGACTATCCAATACTTGAAAAAGTTTTTAAATTCCGTGTATGAAACAGGGACAAATTGGCATTTGTTTATTAAAAAAAATGGTATAAACTAGCAACAATGACAAATAGTATAATAAGGAGAATGATATTGTTCATTTTATTAATTTTTCCACATACTCTAAAATTGTTATCAATTTTTGATAAATAGTTAAGAGATGATAATTTTTCAATCAAACGTTGCAGAAATGTTGAATCGCATATTGTTAATAAACAAATTTATATTTTGTTAAATATATAAAACGTGACTTCATTATTATGGTAAGAGATTTTTCCAATACCTAATTAGTTCTACTCACCGTTTAAATTTTATTTATTTTTAAAATGTTTCTTTAGATTGTATTACAACTGCAATGTTAATATGTTTTATAGGACAAACTACACATTTGTACCCCAGAGCCAAATTGTATTAAATCATGTTACATATTTTTTGCCACCGTTTTTACGCTATTGCCAATGATAAACAGTATTAGATCCTGGCTTACTTATTTTTTGATACATATAAAAACTAAGTAAGCCAGAACTTGTTATAAACTGTTTATTATTGGAAAGAGGGAAAAAAATTGGGTGGAAAATGTGTAACGTGTTTTTAAAAAAGTGGATATAAGACAGTTTTGCTATGGGGTACATATACGAGGTGTGTTCAGAAAATAACGGGAATTTATAAATTTCGCTGGTTCGGAGAGTCCGGTTGCCATAAAATTTTCTTTATTATGTTGATATTGCCCCTAATGTATGATAAAAACTTTAGCTGTTTTCATTGTTAACTTTGTCTGTGGCAGCCGCTAAGGTTAGTCTAGTTTTTATAAGCTCGGCGATTTTTGTTCGTTAATAGAAATGGATCAAAGAATTTTTATCAAGTTTGTGAAAGGGCATATGGTGAGTATGCTATGAATAAAACAAGAGTTTACTAGTGGTATAAGCGTTTCCACGATGGCCGTGAAGACGTTGAAGATGAGCACATCAACATCCGATAAAAACGTGAAAAATGTGGAAGAAATGGTAATGAACGATCGCCAAATCACAATCAGAGAAGTCGCTGATGATGTTGGCATATCGATTGGCTCATGCCATGAAATTTTTTTAAATGTTTTAGCTATGAAATGCGTGGCTTTTGCACCACGATAATGCATCTGCTCACACTTCATTGCTTGTTCGTGAATTTTTGGCCAAAAACAATACTGTAATGATGCCCCAGCGTCCATATTCGCCAGACATGGCTCCGTGTGACTTTTTTCTATTCCCAAAAATTAAGAGAACCTTAAAGGGCCGCCGTTTGGCAAGCATAGATGACATTAAAAGCGCATCGCTGAAAGAACTAAAGGCTATCCCAAAGATTGAATTTGAGAAGTTTTTCGAGGATTGGAAGAAGTGCTGGCACAAGTGCATAATATCTAATGGGGACTATTTTAAAGGCGACAACATTAATGTAGACAAATAATAAATATTTTTTTCACAAACAAAAATTCCCATTATTTTCTTAACACACCTCGTATATACAATATTATACATGTATACCTACTTGTGTAAATTATAGCTTATTCATGTTTTTTAAGCACATGAGTAGGTATGTAATGGTTTTTTAAATTCCATATTAAAAAAAAACTTTTTGCTGACATTGCTGACTAGTAAAATGTTTAATTTTAGTAAATTAACTGATGCGTATTTTTCTCTAAATTATCCTGTGGAAATTGAGTTTGTTTTTACTGCCAACATAAAAAGACAACTGCTGTTTTTAATGAAAATGTTACATACATTGTAGTGAAAAATCTGTGTGTTTAAATAGATTCAGCAAAATGAAACAATTTATCTAAATTTTATATCGTTGCAACGCTTCCGCATCTCTAATACACTTTTATGCAAAACGATTTTATAGGTAGAAAACAAATGTATTCATAAATTTAATGTATTTCGTTAACTAATTTGAATTTTCTAAATTCAAATATGCTAACAACTCCAATTTCATAAATGTAAGCGCGTAGAACCGCGAAAAACTTAATGACTGATTTTCGTTCTTTGTCATACCTTTTGAGTATTATTTTATGTACAAAAAATTACTTATATGTCAAGTAAAACATGTTTTTTCTACTCCCACCTTTAAAACGCTCATTATTGTCCATGTTTCCATGACACTAAGTGACCTTTTAAATACACATTGAAAAGTTGTGGCTTTATGGCGTTTTCGTCACGGGCTGAAGTTAGCAACATGTTTTTAGTCACGGGCTGAAGTTAAGTATTAATTTAGTTAACAGTTGTCAAATGTCACAATCGTTAAAATAAAGTTCCTTGTAAAATAATACAAAATGTGAAAATTATTTTATTATCTCAATACAAAAATACAAAACTATTAAATAGTTTCTCAACGCCAATATTTGAAAAATTTCGCCGGCAGTAATCTATAACTTAAATTCGGGCTCGGCCTCCACTGTGAAGTACTCATAAAACATTTTCTTTACTTTCACGGTGAACAACTGTTGTTAATCCATTTTCAAGGAATACATTTCGATTAATAACCTTTATAATATGTGTTTATAACACATAACAATTTGACATTTGACGGTAACACATATTCCACTATTGTTTTATAGATGGCGCTCCATCCAAATATTTTATTTAAATCATTTTAAGATAATAAAAAGTATTTGTCGTAGAAAAAGTATAGTATGCACCTCGTTTATAAACTTTTCTAGACACTCATTATTTTCAGCACTCGCTCGCAAGCTTGCTCTTGCCTAAATTAAATTCGTGCCTAAAATGACGTTTATCAAACTTGATACTCCTATTACGGAATATGACCGTTCTAATATCACTTTTTAATGTGGAATTACCTATACGTATTCCTTAAAGTGAAAATGAATTCATTTTATCATCGGATGACGGAATAAAAACTGGTCGCTTTGTTTATTATCTAATATCTTTTAGACCGATCAAATTCTCTTAATTAAATTATTTTTTTAAGGTATGCTTTGAAAACATATTTGGAATTGCATATTTCGCTCTCGTGAAACCTTCAAACTAGCCTTCGGCTCATGTGACAAACTTTTCACTCGATCGGAATATACCGTTACAGAATAATTCTAGAAATTTATTATTGTACGAGCCATATCCGCCCGGTGTGCGCGCAAAATTGAAACGGTGCGAGAAATTTTTGACGCCTGTAGCTTGGCAGGGGAGCGTTTTCAGACGCATGTCCGCCAACCAGAAATGCTTGTTTTGGCGAGGCCCATCCATCTGTTGATTTTTTACCATTTATTTCTAACACCCTATATATAATTGTAATTGTAACATGTGTGTGGCAGTGCATTTCTATAATGACATGGATAACCACCAAGAAGGGATCTTTTGAAATTCAATTCCTGAGGGGGCATTCCAAAATTCAGTTTTAATCCCGGTGCATTCGCCATTTTTGACAGTATTTAGCGGATGAACGGATTTTGATGAAATTTGGTTTAGTTTTGAACGGGACGGTATTATGTATAAAGTTGTCTAAGGTCTTAAAACTGGACTGACTTTTTTTTAACTTTTATTTTTCTTTTTTGGTTTTTCTTTCTTTGTTTTAAATTTTAAATTTAAAGAAAGAAAAGGGTGGACGTGATTTTTTAAATAAATATTGTAAACTATAACTACAGGGTCCGGCAACAGAATTGAACGGTTTTAAAAATGCTGCTATGGAAATACTCTTGATTTGATATATGTCAAATAGTGACAGACTTGTTCCTTATTGCCGAAAGTTTCGTGTACAATGGCAATTAAAAATTGTGTGCAGAAATTGAGTCGATTGACTTTATCAAATTGGACTGTCGTGTTTTTAGAAGGCGTTTTAAATCCAGATGTAACATTCGTCGCAAACTTCGGTCTAAAATGTGTAGAGCAATCGAGAGCCGCTCAAAGGCTTATCTGACTCTTCCAATATTTTTTTGTGTACAAACTGTACGAGTTCCAGCGGAAAATTTTGATTTTACACTGCCTCTTTCATTAAAATCTCTTACCCATCTCAAAATGGCATTTTTTTATGGGACTTCAGCTCGCACTGGAAAATTATATTCACGACGAAAGCGTATCTGCGTTTGTACGAAGGACTGGGTCAGGGTAAACGAATTTACAGCAAAGATCCGTTGATTAACCGGCCAGTTTGACATTGCACACGAAACCTTCGGCAATAAGGTATAAGTCTGTCATTATTTGACATATACCAAATCAATAGTATTTCCATAGCTGCCTTTTCAAAACCGTTTAATTCTGATGCCGGACCCTAACTAACTATTTCAAAAATCAACCAAAAATTATTCCTAACAATCGTTTAAATCCGATATAGAAGCACTTTTTCACATAGGCACTTCACTCGAAATTTTTAATGCTTTATCAGGTAAAACTGGATTACTTTTGGCACAGTCTTATATATGACCCTACTGCTAGCGAAATTAAAACGTTAGTACAAACTTGCATATAAACTTTTTAAATATTGGCGTTGAGAAACGCTTAGTCATGGAAACTTGTTCTTAGTATAAATTATAAACTTGTACTTGAGCGTTTTAAAGGTGTAGGTAGAAAAAATATTTATAATTTGTCTTGATGAGAGATACTAATGCTACAAACTTAATTTTTTAAATGTTAAAAAATCCAAGAACTTTAATAGTTTTTTTAGTTTTAGTTTTGATTTTTTGGCGGGAATTGCCGCGTATAAAAGTGATAGCAATAGTAATTAAAAGTAATAACTAAATGTAAAGTTATATTTAATTTAGTAAGGCTACTCACTCATTGACCAAAACATTTCCATTATCATATCCAGCAGAGTAGTCTTGATGTGTCACAGGTCGTCCATACGAGTCCATTAAAATGGGCTGAGGTTTTATAATTTCCAATGGTAACAATTGCGGAGGTCCATTATTAACAACGAATTTTCCCACTGTAATTGGAGGATAACCGAAATTAACGAACTCTTTGTAATTATCCGAGTCCTTATATTTTTCAAAATCGGTGTCATCTGCAGAGTAGGCAGTAAAAATAGCTGGATTTCCAGAGACTGCTTGATATGAGTATCCCGAAGCTGAGCTGGCTTGATCATCTAATTGCGATTTTTTCATATAAACTATTTCCATGGATTTACATAAAGGAATACAAAATATAAATAGGATTAGTTCTTTCATTCTGAATGATTGTTTAACTTATGTTTAAATTCTACACTAAATTGTTATATATAGGTATTGTTAAAATTATTGCGATAACATTGGGCAAGACTTTAATGCATAAAGGCCAATAAATTAAGAAATATAGCACCTCAGCAGCATGGTTCATTACGTTTTAAATTTAGTTAATTTGGCGTTAAAACCACACTAATGACGATGTTTGTTTTTTGTAGTCGGCTGTAAATGTTTCGTGAAAGGCTCTTTGTGTATATGAACTGAACAGAATATCCATTAGAATAAAGTTTTATTATCCTGTCTGTAATTCGAAGCCTGACAACCAATTTCTATATAACTTCTTTTCTTTGTTAGATTTTTTGTATTTTACATCAAAACAGACATGTTGTTCAGAATGTATAAGGTTTCATTAAATATACTTTTTATGAGAACACAAAAGCGTGACTATGAAAATATGTGTTTGGTTTACACAATTGAAATTGGGTCGACCCAGTATTTTTTTATTAGCTATTTTAACACATTTTTTAAGTATAAACCCCAAAGGTTAAAATTTCATTTCTATTTAATTCAAGATTTTATTCTTTACGGTCAATTATAAAATAAATATATAGAAATAATATTGTTACTCTAAAAGGTTGGCGCAGATTTTACCGCATATTTTAAAGAAATGATAAGTGACCTTGGTATAATAATCCATTCACCTTGGACACTTCTGTGGTTTCTGGGCGAAAAACTTCCCAGTCAAGTTTTCTCAATATTATTAATATTTAAAAATTATAATATAATATGCAACTTATGATAATAAATTTATTTTAAACGTGCAGCGTCGTTATTTTCCTATTAATGAAAATGTAAAAAGTTTATTTTCTTGTACAAAGTAAAAGGTTATGTACATATTACATGGCAAGTTTAGTATTAAAAGTGTAAATTGAGATTTTAAATGGAGTCTTCGAGCACCGAAAAGCAATTTCAGTTTCCTATTTTTAAATTATATCTCAGGTAGGTAGATATCGAAAATTTAAGATTTTTGTTTCTTAAAATAGGCTTTCTCGAGAAAAATATGTACCTGGACCCAAGTGGATGTCTTTTCTAGTTGGCTGATTCATTTATAAGTTCGCTTTGAACAAAACTTGCTGCTGCCTTCAAAGTGATTTAGTCAAGTTCAATTCGTTTTGGAAGAATTTAAGGTTTAGCATTAAGGCCAGGGAATGATAAATTTTATTGATTCTCTGTGTACACTCAGGCACATAAATACAGAAGATCTTTTCGAATCCACAAAGGGGACAACTGCCCCTCTATATATGAAGGTCTAATTTTTTAAAATTTAAGGTGTTGGTTAATTTATTAGAAAGGTTTATTATTAGAGACCGGATTCTAAACAAAATGTCCATCGATGATCAAATGTCTTACTGAAAGAAATTCAGATGAGGAATGGTTATGTAGAGCGTACAAAATGAAATCTCGGCGTTGCTGGTACTCTAGAAGCGTAACTGCATTCTTGGGACCTAGGTGAAAACTCCGTGGTGTTAATAGGCTCGAAAGGACACAGAAAATAATAATGAATTATTGAAAGGTTTCTGTAGTGTAATAGTATATTCTGTAACAAGTTTGGAATACGGTATATTCCGCTCGAGAGAAAAGTTTGACGGTTTTACGAGAGCGGAATATGCAATTCCAAACGTGTTTCAGACTATACTTTTTCTACGTTTACAAAAAATAACATAAAAAAATAATTTAATTGGAAGAAAGTGAGGTTGGATCGGTCTAAAATTTGTTAGATATTAAAAACAAAGATGTCTCCACCTGTGTTTATTTTGTCATCCGATGATAGAATATTTCATTCTGTAACATTTTACGGAATATATGTCATTCCATATATAAAAGTGATATTAGAACGGTCATATTCCGTAATAGAAGAAAAAAGTTTTTAATGACCATTAAATAAAATTTACAACCATGGCAAACTTCTTTAGCAATCTTTAGGCCACAAATTATCGAAAGGAAAACTTTCTGGATTAATTTGTTATAAATTTATATAAATTTTAAAAAGTGAAGTTTAACGTTACATTTTTTTTTAAATTAATTAAAAAAGATAGAATATTTCAGAATACAGTAGTTTTGTCTATTATCATTAGACAGTTTTTATGTGATTTAAATATTTAGGCTTCAATTTAACAAAATAAATAAATTATTTAGATAAACGTGTTTTGACTGCAAAACGAGATTACTTTATTTTTTAAAATAATATAATTAATTTTTTGAGGAAATAATTGATTTTGGTAATTTTGAATGTTTATTAATCCTACATAAAAAATAAATATTAACTATTAAATAAATATTATAGGAAAAAATTTGTAAAACTATAATTATTATACAGTTTAATTACTTGTATTTTAAATGGTACAAAACCCTAACCCTATTATAATATATATATTATAATATATATAATATAATGTTTAATAAACACAATTTTAATTAGGCACGAGTGCGCTTTCGAGCGAGCCTTTAATTAAATGAGTGTCTAGAAAAGTTTATACGTTTATACGTTTTCTACGACAAACACTTATTATATAAAAATGAAATTAAATATTTGTATAGAGCGACTTCTATAAAACAATAGAGTTACCATTCTTGAGAATCCGTAATGCCAAATCAACCTTACTTTCTCCCAATTAAGATTTTTTTCTATGGTATTTTTTGGAAGCGTAGAAAAAGTATAGTCTGAAACACATCTGGATTTGCATATTCCGCCCTCGTGAAACCGTCAAACTCGTCTTTGGCTCGTGTGAAAAACTTTTTACTCGAGCGGAATATGCCGTATTTCAAACTAGAGCCTTAAAGCTATGCTCAGTTTATTTTGTGAGAACGTTTTTATACATTGTTAATTTTATAAAAATAATAGATACACACTGTGTATTACACAGGGTGGCTTAAAAGGTGATTTTAATAATTTAAGAATCAATAAAAACCTTAAAATATACATTCATTTTCTTAATAAACTTATATCTAAAACTAAAACAGTTTCAGAAATACAAGGTATTGAAGAAGGTGTTGAAGTATCATATATATATATATATATATATATTAGGGTGTGCCAAAAAAACTCGATATTTCTTTTTTCTTGCTCTCCACCCAAAATATCGTAGAATATGTCCGAACAAATATTTTGTTAAAAGCGGAGCTCATAATTTCAATTTTAAGAGGTCCCTCATCGAATCTGAAGTTTTGCCGCTTAAATAACACAGAAAACTGACTTTTTACCTTATTTATTCTTGCAACCTAGGAAGAAATTTTTTTTTCAAAAAATCCATGACCAAATCTTACAAAGCATTAAATTTGGACGAAAAAATCTTATTAAGCCGAATTTCTATTTTCATTATTTGATTTTTTACAGAGCTTTAAATTTAAGTTAATAATACAAAAATGATAAATTTATACGCCTGTAACTTTAAGAATATTGACGATACAAAAAATTCGCCTAAAACTTTTTTGTGGTCCATCAGACTTTTGACTTTTTCGTCTAACTTCAATAGTTGAGCTGAAAAAGGCAAAAAACGTAAAATTTTAATTATATATATAATTATTTTAGCGTGATAAATCACTATAGTTTTATGTCGATGAACTGTGAAAATTGTATGCAATGGTGTAGTGAACTTGACACGAATACCAACTCAGCAAAAACATCAAAAGGAACTTCAATAAAACCCACAAATATATATAATGGCAAAATGTAATATTTAATATTTACATAATTTTATTTTTACATACGAAAACATAATTAACCATAGGTTTTTGTATGTGAATACATTACCTACCGTAAACACGGGTGACTTTGCACCCCGCGGGTGACTTTAACCCATTTATGAAAAATCATTTCGCGCTCGATAAAATTAACATCTATAATTTGTTGGTCTAAACCTGCCAATTGAGCGATTCTATTAAGTTTATATTACAGGAAAATCAGTGTTTTAAAGAAAGAAATGAGATTTATTACACTTTAAAATTGTATATATCGCATCAGTGCAAAACTCTTAGAAATACACGCGTTACAATTTCTATATTATGCGCAATCCATTGGAATGATGATCTTTGGTTAACTACAGGTCGATTTTTTATTTTTTTATCGGTAATCCCTTGCAATAGATATATGTCGCTGCTAACACGTGTCTAATAAAAATAAAATATAATATTGAATTCATTTTATACGGAAAATACACTGTGAGACAAAGTAACCCGCAACCAGGGGGTAACTTTGCACATCCAGTTTTTAATTTTTATTTTTGAAACTCAGCCCTATGTAATATTAAAACATAGTTATTATGAAAGAGCAACTCAAGACTCAAATTTTGGTATACAAAATTTAATGTTTATGATTGTTAAAACCACAAAAATTTTAAGCCACCCGTGTTTATGGTATTTATTTGTTTTAAATGTTTATGTAAAGTAGCTGATTTAAAAGTTTTAAGTGCCATGAACCTAACAATCTCTTTAGTAAGAAATATTGACTTAAATCTAGCTGTAATCGTCAATCTGAGAATTTATTTACAAAATTTTAATTGTTTTAGTAGTTTTTTTTAATTAAATGAAATGTTAATGGTTTTTGATTATAACTAATTTTGTTTGGCGTTAAAAGTATATTTTTGGCAATTTATAAAGGAATGTATTTCGTTGTCAGTCTCTTCTTGAAAAGTTGGCTATGGATTGATTTAAAATTTAAAAAAGAGAAAGCTGCAAATTTGTTAAATTAAATTTCCTACCGCGAACAACATAATTAAGATTAAGATTAAAGAAACAAAATTAATTTTTAGGCGTTCTATAATTTGAACTTTATTATTTTTAACGCTCACTACCTAGGCTTTAAAAATAATTTCCCCGTTTTAAGCAATCAAACAATTTGATAACTGCTGACAATTCCAAAGTGCTATATAACCTTACTTTAGAATTATTATTGTAATAAGCTTTTAAGTATTATTTAACAAAGATGAAATGTTGTATGCCATTTGGTT